AGAAGAACTGGATTATGAGTTTACTGACAAGATACAGGTAGAAACAAACTAAAAAAAATCACAGCATGTGTGTTTGTGCATCTTTTTCTGTTTGGGTTGTTCTATGTGAAAGGAGAGATTATCTAGTTACAATCCAGAAGGGAAAAAGAAAAGAAGGAGAAATGCTGATGTTAACGGCTCTAATTTCTGGAGGGTTTCTGGTATTCTGTGACCACTGACATTTTAGGAGAGTGGAACTGCGTCAGTGACTAGAAAGCACAACAGAAAGTTGGAGAGCAGATCAGGCAATCAGTCAACTGGAACAAAGGAGAACTACAGTTTAGTTACAGCAGAATAAAAGCGTGTAAAAACAGGCCAAACATAAAGTCAGCAGATCAGTGCATGACTCCAGAAGGCATTTTTTCCACCATAGAGCCTTCTCCTTCCTTCCCCCCTCCCTATTTCCAAAGAACACACATCTTCAGGGAGCAAAGCAATCAAATTCCTTATAAAATGCATGTATGTTAAAAGTCTCGTTCTATTTGCTTAGAATAAGCCAAAACATGCATAACTCACTTGGTCAAGTTACAGAGTTCAGGAAATGATATTATATGTCAGTGCACTAGATTGACAGTATTGTCTAAAGAGCAATAAACCTTTATCTCTCTAATAGCTGTTATCTATATAGATTTTTTTTTAAAAGATCTCACTGGGTATTAACCAGAAGTAAAGGGTGAAGAGATTTCATAAGAGTGTCAGGCCAGGCCAACTTGACAGTTTAGTCTTACTGTAGACTCTTGTAGTTTGGCCACTTCATCTATTCCATATCTCTTTCATCATATAAACCCAGAAATCCTTGAGTCTAGAGAGTTACATGTATAATCAAGCAACAACATTCTGGGCTATATCATAGAGAAGTGTGTAGATACTTATAGTACCAGAACCACTTTGCTGTAATGGTTAAAAGGTAGATTGGATGAATTCCTCAAGTACCATTTCATTCATGAAACTAATTGGATGGCTTAGGGCTGAGCTTTGCAGGATAGTTATGATTGTTGGGAAAGAGGAGCACAAAATATACCACATTTAAATCACTGGAGCAAGGATGGAATATAAATACAACTTTAAAGAAATGAACACAGCCATGTTGGCTGTGATATTCTTGATGCAAAAAAAGTTAACATCACCAAGCTCTAAGCATTGGCCATTAGAATAATAGAGGTGGAAGAAATCTCATGGGCCATCTAGTCCAACCTCCTGCCAAGAAGCAGGAAATTCGCATTCAAAGCATCCCTGACAGATGGCCATCCAGCCTCTGTTTAAAAGCCTTCAAAGGGGCCTCCACTACACTCCAGGGTAGAGAGTTCCACTGCTGAATAGCTCTCACGGTTAGGAAGTTTTCCCTAATGTTTATGTGGAATCTCCTTTCCTGTTGTTTGAAGCCTTTGTTCCATGTTCTAGTCTCCAGGGCAGCAGAAAATCATTTTCATGGCACAGGGAAATGGGAAAATAAATTTTGATTTGTGCAATGTTCTGATCATTTTAGGGTGGCTAAAATGATCAAAGGTCTGAAGAACAAGCCCAATGTGGAGCGGCTTAAAGAGTTGGGCATGTTTAGCCTGAAGAAGAGAAGGCTGAGAGGAGACATGATGAGAGCCATGTATAAACATGTGAGGGGAAGTCATAGGAAAAACGGAGCAGGCTTGTTTCTCTGTCTTCTACCTGAATCAAAACTGAATAAGGGGTTGCAATTAAAATGGAGATTAAATGGAAATCATAAGTTTTTCTCCTTCCATCACTATTCCAGATAGCCATTTTCCAGAGGTGCTGGGAGTTATATAAGAAATTAAAATCAATTCACAGGATAAGGAAACATTTACTGGAATCAGTGGAATGTAAATGTTAAGGTTTCCCAAAGATGGCTAAATGGCCTATACTATGTTTCTACAGTGGTTATTTAATGTCCTGCTTTAAAATACTATAATATTTCAAATATTTTGCATCCTCTTGCACCACCCAGAAATCAAGTCATGTGTTTCTCCTTCCTTTGTCTAGGAAATAAAAGTTGGTTGTTTTTGTTTTTTTTTTGGGGAGGGGGGGGGATAAAAATAAAACCAGCTCTTGCTGAGAAAAGACTTTTGAAAGATCCGTTTTTGGCATGCTCAGTTCAGGCATTCTTGATACGTTTAGTTCATCGGATACTTCTTTTTCTGAAATACATGGCCCTTGCCTTGCACAATGGGAAGCTGAAGGTTTGATTATAACAGCTCAGTTCAGAAGTGCATGTATATCACTTGATCAATATGGATCTTTGGTGACTGGCAGTTAGATGTGTGAACTTGAAGAGAAATGTATTGCAATGGATATGAAGAGTCAGGAAGGTCCTACATGCAGCCACATGAGCAGGTCAACTTTTGATATTGCAATGATGAACAAGGTGGAACCCAGCCCTGGGACTTCCAAGAAATTTTAAGCATCATGATCCATAGCATCATGTTGATGACCAAAGAGTGGGAACATCACCCATAGCATCATGTTGATGATGAAATAGTGGGAACATCATCCATAGCATCATGTTGATGACCAAAGAGTGGAAACATCATCCATAGCATCAGGTTAATGCCAGTTGTCACATATCACTCACTTTGAGTAGCCATTATTCTTCATAATGTTGAGATATTAAGATTCTAGATCTTTACAGCTCATGTCCTGAAGCTAAATATTTGCATCAATCTTTCCTGACTACAGATACATGTAAGATCCCATTAAAAGCTGAAAAGCTGTACTGGAGCGACATCTATTTTGTCCTAAGCTCTGCTGGAGCTGCCAGTATTGTTAATAGTCTACTACTTATATAAACAAAGGTGGCACATATATTATCAACAAAGGTTTGAAGAGCAGGTGTTGGGCTGGTCCAGAAGAAAATGTGAAAGGATTTATTTTTTTCCCTCGGGACAAAAGTCACAACACACTAAACAGAGTTGACTAAACAAAAGGTGTCATTGGAACAATTGTCTATATTCTCTCTGTTTTTAAGTGATCAAAGATATTTTTTTCTAATGATAACAGCAAGCATTCTCAGATCTTAAAGATTCTCAACAACACAGAATGGAGATATAATATTTAAAACACACATTCTTAAGAAAATCCCTAGTTTTGACAAAAGGATGGGGTGTCATAACCCAAGTAAGACCACTTTTATACAGCACAAAATACACTCACTTTTCTCCCCTTGTCTCCCATGTTTCTAGATTTATTTTTACCATTTTTCATCATGGAGACAGACAGTCAGAAACACACACACTGAGCAAAGCAAATCATAGAAGTTGAGAATTGCCGGATGAATACTAATCAGCAAGCGCAGTTGCCCCAGTTAATAAAGCAACAGTTATGTACACAGAGATGCTTCCTCAGGACAAAATAGGATTAAATTACATTTTAAAAGATAGGGGGAAAGGTAGCATGACTTATCTACAGTAATAACTATCCTTCCTAGAACACTTACATCTTCCCTTCTGTCATCGACTTCTCTATGTAAAACTCAACTTTTCTTAAAGCTAGATTTCTCTCTCTTATGTACACACGCACACACACACACACACACACACGAGTGTTACATACTTGACATCAACTTGAAGAAAACATATTCAGATTTTCAAAATGGGATTTGTCTCTTATTTTTCCATCCAAACAACTCTAAGAATCTTTAAATAAGATATTCTGGAAAAGAGTTTTTAAAACGTACATTGTTTTATTTACGGCTATAAGGAGAATATTCAGTTCCTTTTTCTTTATGAAAACCATGCTCACCAGTACAACCATAGCCTGCTTCACAGGGTTGTGTTCTGCATATAGATAACAGAGTTATAATTTTACCCAAATGGCAAAAAAGAACATGGCAAACACTTAATTTATTTGATTTTTTTATCTCACCTTTCTCCCAAACAGTAGAATAAGTATGCTAAAACAATGGAAGTGCCATGAAGTACATGTAGGTAAAGTAAAGGTAAGGGTTTCCCCTTGAAATTAAGTCTAGTCTTGTCCAACTCTAGGGGGTAGTGCTCATCTCCATTTCTAAGCCAAAGAGCTGGCATTGTCCTTAGACACCTCCAAGGTCATGTGGCCGGCATGACTTCATGGAGTGCCATTACCTTCCCGCCAAAGCGGTGCCTATTGATCTACTCACATCTGCATGTTTTCAAACTGCTAATTTGGCAGAAGCTGTGGCTAACAGCAGGAGCTTGCCCTGCTCCCCGGAGTTGAACCACTGACCTTTCAGCAGCTCAGTGGTTTAACCTACTGCACCACCTGGGGCTCCTTGAAGTACAATTACATGATATTATTAGATTATGGGACATACCATGCATAAAAGATTTCAGCCATGTGGAGTTTGATTTTTTTTTTAGGATCACTTAATAAAGAATCTATTAATTCAGATACTGATAATCTACTTTCTCCTTCTGCTTCTTCAGATTTGTCCAAAAGATAGTACCCACATGACATGGCTCAGACACAGCATCACAACTTTTCCTCTCGTTTGTACTTTAACAGTGACCTCATTTTACCATCAAATTTCACACAACCCATGAATGACATTAGTGATTAATGCTTGATTGAAACAAGATTGTAACTTGACACCAGCTCAATGTAATCATCAAAAGACCAGACACCTATACAGCAACAGCACAGCCTGAAATACTTCATTTTTGATGTCTTCCTTAATCTGGCAACATTCATCCAAAGTCCCTTGCATGTGAAATAGTTAAGATACAACATTCACCCTCTTCCACAGGACCACTGGGAAGTGCGAACGTATAAGACGGGTGTTTAGTGTTAAGACATCAATATTAGGTGGCTGCTATCTATAATAACTTGTTCGGAATAAGCAAAACACCCTTGAAACAACTAAACAAGTGACACCACACTGGGAACCACTGGTCACGCAAGTCATTCATGACACCGGAATGGGCATTTCAGTGATGTATGACCTTGAAACAAAAAAAGACACAATGGCCACCTACCCAGCCTCCGTTCTCCTGGATCCAGTTGTGCAGGTACTGGTTCAGATACTCTGTCATCCACACAGCAATATTGTCCACAAGGGGGGACATCTCCCGGCTGACACTCTCCACGCACAACAGGCCACCAAATTCAAAGAATGCCACAATCCTCCCCCAGTTCACTCCGTCTTGAAAGAGCTCTTCCACCACGGCCACAAAACGACTTCTGGCAGTGCTGGGGGTCAAATGCAGCTGGCCAGACATTTGAGCAAAGTCCCTCCGATAGCGCCGGGAGAACTCGTCTCCGGCTTGGCGTAACGTTGTGTGGACAACCTGTGGCACCCGGTCCGGTTCTTCCGCGGGGGCATTGGTACTCACAGGAGCAGAATTGGGCAGCTCTGGAGAAAGAGATGCTGGCACAGTTGGAGCAGTAGGAGCAGCAGCAAGGTTTCCTCTGTCTCCACTGGCAACCCAGTCATATCCTTTCTGCGACAGCTTGTAATGGATGTACCTCAGCACGATTTCCCTGTTATCGTAACCTCTTATCCCAGGATGAGCCATGGTGGACAATAAGCAGTAGGATGAGGGTGGTGGAAAAAAAGACACAGAAGCAGATGAAATGTCCCCCACCGACCCAGAGGGGGGAAAAAAGCAGCCAGTAATAATAAGTGCCGGTGTTTATATATAATCCAGTTGTTTCACTCCATGCAGTTCCATTGGTTGAGGTGTGGGGGAGTCCTCGGGGTCTCAAAGGTATTTCCGCCTTCCCAGCGTTTCCTCTTCAGTTTGTTATCCACGATGGAAAGCAGATTTCAAAGGCAGCCAATACTGTATTCCACAGGTAATATTTATCATGAGAAGTCTGTTTTCAGAAGCCTTCCTTCCTTCGTGCAGAAATGCAACTAAAATAAGAAAAACAGACACTTATTTGACATCAGGTGCACTTTCCCCCTCCCTTCCTTCTGAGCTAGGACATGAATGAAGAGGATGGTGTACACACACGCACACACATGGTTTCCCCAAGAGAAAAACAAAACACCAAACCCTGCCATTCCAAATGATTTACTACGCAGAGCAACCTCCAATGCAAATGCATGCAAAGCACATTCAACTCAGGGCCCTTCCGCACAGCCATACAACCCAGAATATCAAGGCAGAAAACCCCACAATATTTATTTATTTATTTATTTATTTATTTATTTATTTATTTATTTATTTGCTGCATTTGTTGACCGCCGCTCTCAGCCCTAGGGCGACTCGCGGCGGTGTACAACATATAAAAACAGTTTACAATAAAGCACAACACGAAATCACATATCAATAATACACACTAATCTAAATTACAATATCTACTTTGAATTGGGTTTGAATTGAGTCCACACTGCCATATGATCCAATTCAATGTGGATTTGATACAGCTGTGTGGAAGGGGCCTTATATATCTCGGTGCCCTTCCACACAGCCCTATATCCCAGAATATCAAGGCAGAATAATCCCACAATATCTGCTTTGAACTGGGTTATCTTATAATTCAGTTCAATGTGGATTTGATACAGCTGTGTGGAAGGGGATTTACAAATCTCAGGGTCCTTCAACACAGCCATATAACCCAGACTATCAAGGCAGAAAATCCCACAATACCTGCTTTGAACTGGGTTATCTGAATCCACACTGGCACATAATCCAGTTCAATGCAGAATTGATACAACTGTGTAGAAGGTGCCTTACATATCTCAGTGCCCTCCCAGACAGCCAGATAATCCAGAATATCAAGGCAGAAAAATTCCACAATATCTGCTTTGAACTGGGTTATCTGAGTCCACACTGTCATATAATCCAGTTCAATGCAGAATTGATACAACTGTGTAGAAGGTGCCTTACATATCTCAGTGCCCTCCCAGACAGCCAGATAATCCAGAATATCAAGGCAGAAAAATTCCACACTATCTGCTTTGAACTGGGTTATCTGAGTCCACACTGTCATATAATGCAGTTCAATACAGAATTGATACAATTGTGTGGAAGGGGGCTTACATATCTCAGTGCCCTTCCACACAGCCAGATAATCCAGAATATCAAGGCAGAAAAAAATCCACAATATCTGCTTTGAACTGGGTTATCTGAGTCTACACTGCCACATAATCCAGTTCAATGTGGATTTGATACAGTTCTGTGGAAGGGGCCTTATATATTTCAGGGCCCTCCTAGAAAGCCATAGAACCCAGAATATCAATGCAGAAAATCCCACAATATCTACTTTGAATTGGATTATCTGAGTCCACACTGCCAAATAATCCAGTTCAAAGTGGATTTGATACAGCTGTGTGGAAGAGGCCTCAAAGTCCCCACTGGATTTTCCCCTCTTTTCTTTATAATAACATTAAGTTACTCAAAGTATCCCACCAATTTAAGATACTTACTTGGATGAGAAATATCATTTTCTGTGAAGTTTCCTTACTGGAAAATAGAACCGAAAAAACATCATGAGGGGAAAATGCAAAAGGGTCTTTTGGAGGAGTCCAAACCAGAAAAAGCAAAAGATGGAAAAGCAGCTTTCAACCTCTTTAGGACTGTTGGGATTTCCAAAAACGCTTCCAAGGCTCCTGTTTGAGTGACATTTCCAAGGAGATGTCAAAACTCAGAAAGCCGGCCTCCTAACTTTCAGGACAGGGAAGCCAAGCCGGCGGCGGTATGAACCACCAACAAGGCAAGAAGAAGCAGAAGCAGAAGGGAGCCAAAGGATCCGGGAAAGGCATAGTTCAAGCCAGGCTTTTTGAATGAGGGCGAGAGCTTCCCAGGGCAGCGTGGTGGTGCTGCGGGGTCTCCATTCAGCAGCTCAAGATCTCCCAGTCTGGACTGATTGAAAACTCTGGACTGCAGAACTCAAAAAGAAAGTAGTTGGAGGGTTCCCCTTCTTTGCCTTTTTAAATATCCCATAAGGCAAAGGAGGGGGAGAATGGGGCGGGTCTTGACTGCTTTCCCTTCCCTCCTCCTGCTCTTTCCCCAATGCCCTTCACTACTGCTGCTACTACCACTATTACTACGACTATTACCCCGATGCCCAGCGGCCGCCTGCTCCTCCTTTTCCTGTGCTGCTGGGGAGGCCGGTCGGTCCCCCCTCTCCCTCTGCCTCTCTCTCTCTCTGAATGTGGCTGCAGCCCGAGGGGAGGAGACTGAGGAGGGGAGCGCCTTGCCTCTTAGCCCCACCTCACGGTTCATTCAAGAAAAAAAAGGGAGGGGAAGGGAAGGGAAAGGAGGGAAGCCGCCGATTCCTTCCGTCAAAGGCGCCGCCGCCTCTGTCGCCCGTCCTCTTTCCCCCTCCCAGGCACTCATTGCAATTCACACACCCGCCATGGCTGCTGCGCCTTCCTTCTCTCTGCCTCGCTCTGCCCGGGTTTCTCCAGGGCCGGGCGCGAGGCTGGGTGGTCCGCCCTGGGAGGGAGGGAGGCAGGGAGGGAGGGAAGGAGGGTCGCCCGGGCCAAAAAGGCGGCAAAGCGCGAGACCCCCCGCTCCATTCATTGGGTGGGTTGGCCCTGGGGAAGGGGAAAAGGGAGAGGGAAAGAAGAGGGCTAGATAGGGATCCAGAGAACGAGAGAAATAAAGAAGAGGGCTAGATAGGGATCCAGAGAGGTTAGATAGATAGATAGATAGATAGATAGATAGATAGATAGATAGAGATAGATTAGATAGATGATAGATAGATAGATAGATAGATAGATAGATAGATAGATAGATAGATAGATAGATAGATAGATAGATAGATAGGGAAGGTGTTAGATATGTATCTATGTATATAGAGAAGAATTAGATAGATAGATAGATAGATAGATAGATAGATAGATAGATAGGGAAGGTGTTAGATATGTATCTGTGTATATAGAGAGGAATAAAGAAGTGTGTTAGATAGGGATCCAGAGATAGATAGATGGAGAGAAATGGTGTTAGATATGTATCTTAACAGAAATAAAGAAGCGTACTAAATAGGGATCCAGAAAGAAAGAAAAGGTAGATAGATAGATAGGTATATATCTAAAGAGAGAAATAAGGAAGGGCATTAGATATGTATATAGAGAGGAAGAAAGAAGTGTGTTAGATAGGAATCCAGAGATAGATAGAACTAAGAAATGGTTAGATATGTATCATAACAGAAATAAAGAAGTGTACTAAATATGGATCTAGAGAGAAAGAAAAGAGATAGATAGGTAGGTATATATCTACAGAGAGAAATAAGGAAGGGTGTTAGATATGTATCTGTGTATATAGAGAGGAAGAAAGAAGTGTGTTAGATAGGAATCCAGAGATAGATAGAACTAAGAAATGGTTAGATATGTATCGTAACAGAAATAAAGAAGTGTACTAAATAGGGATCCAGAGAGAAAGAAAAGGTAGCTAGATAGATAGGTATATATCTAAAGAGAGAAATAAGGAAGGGCGTTAGATATGTATCTGTGTATATAGAGAGGAAGAAAGAAGTGTGTTAGATAGGAATCCAGAGACAGATAGATAGATAGAGAGGACTAAGAAACAGTATTAGATATGTATCTAATAGAAATAAAGAAGTGTATTAGATAAGGATCCAGAGAGAGATAAGAGGAAGAGAGAGAGAGCTCTAAGAAATGATGTTAGATATATATCTAATAGAAATAAAGAATTGCGCTATGTAGGGATTCAGAGAGAGAAAAGGTAGGTAGGTAGGTAGGTAGGTAGGTAGGTAGGTATATATTCAAAAGAGAGAGATAAGGGTGTTAGATATGTATCTGTGTATAAAGAGAGGAATAAAGAAGTGTTAGATAGGGATCCAGAGATAGATAGTTAGATAGAAAAAGAGTGAAATAAAAAACAGTGTTAGATATGTATCTAAAGGAAATAAAACAGTGTACTAGATAGGGATCCAGAGAGGGGGAAAAGGTAAATAGATAGAAGGATAGGTATATATCAAGGGAGAGAAATAAGGAAGGGTGTTAGATATGTATCTGTGTATATAGAGAGGAATAAAGAAGCGTGTTAGATGGGATCCAGAGATAGATAGTTAGACAGAAAGAGAGAGAAATAAGAAACTGTGTTAGATACGTATCTAACAGGAATAAAGAAGTGTACTATATAGGGATCCAGAGAGAGAGAAAAGGTAAATAGATAGATATCAAGAGAAAGAAATAAGAAATGGTGTTAGATATGTATCTTAACAGAAATAAAGAAGTGTACTAGATAGGGATCCAGAGAGAGAGAAAGTAGATAGATATAAGGTATATTTCAAGGGAGAGAAATAAGGAAGGGTGTTAGATATGTATCTGTGTATATAGAGAGGAATAAAGAAGTGTGTTAGTTAGGGATCCAGAGACAAACAGATAGATAGAAAAATAAGAAATGGTGTTAGATATGTATCTAACAGAAATAAAGAAGTGTACTAAATAGGATCTAGAGAGAAAGAAAAGGTAGGTAGGTAGGTAGGTAGGTAGGTAGATAGATAGATAGATAGATAGATAGATAGATAGATAGATAGATAGATATCAAGAGAGAGAAATAAGGAATGGTGTTAGATATGTATCTGTGTATATAGAGAGGAATAAAGAAGTGTGTTAGATAGGGATCCAGAGAGAGAGAGAGAACTAAGAAACAGTGTTGAATATGTATCTAACAGAAATAAAGAAGTGTACCAAAAAGGGATCCAGAGAGAAAGAAAAGGTAGCTAGATAGATAGGTATATAACTAGAGAGAGAAACAAGGAAGGGTGTTAGATATGTATCTGTGTATATAGAGAGGAATAAAGAAGCATGTTAGATAGGAATCCAGAGATAGATACAGAGATACATAGAGAGAACTAAGAAACAGTGTTAGATATGTATCTAATAGAAATAAAGAAGTGTACTAGGTAGGGATCCAGAGAGAGAGAAAAGGTAGGGAGAGAGAGAACTAAGAAATGGTGTTAGATATGTATGTAGTAGAAATAAAGAAGTATACTAGGTAGGGATGCAGAGAGAGAGAAAAGGTAGCTAGATAGATAGGTATCTATCTAGAGAGAGAAATAAGGAAGGGTGTTAGATATGTATCTGTGTATATAGAGAGGAAGAAAGAAGTGTGTTAGATAGGAATCCAGAGATAGATAGATAGATAGATAGATAGATAGATAGATAGATAGATACAGATAGATAGAGAGATAGATAGATAGAACTAAGAAAAAGTGTTAGATATGTATCTAATTGAAATAAAGAAATGCACTTGGTAGGGATCCAGAGAGAGAGAAAAGGTAGAGAGACAGAGAGAACTAAGAAATGGTGTTAGATATGTATCTAATAGAAATAAAGAAGTGCACTAGATAGGGATCCAGAGAGAGAGAAAAGGTAGATAGATAGGTAGATAGATAGATAGATAGATAGATAGATAGATAGATATCAAAATAGAGAAATAAGGGTGTTAGATATGTACCTTATATAGAGAGGAATAAAGAAGTGTGTTAGGGATCCAGAGATAGATAGTTAGATAGAAAGAGAAATAAAAAACAGTGTTAGATATGTATCTAAAGGAAATAAAACAGTGAATTAGATAAGTACCCAGACAGAGAGAAAAGGTAGATAGATAGAAGGATAGGTATATATCAAGGGAGAGAAATAAGGAAGGGTGTTAGATATGCAGCTGTGTATATAGACAGGAATAAAGAAATGTGTTAGATAGGGATCCAGAGATAGATAGATAGATAGATAGATAGATAGAGAACTAAGAAACAGTGTTAGATATGTATCTAATAGAAATAAAGAAGTGCACTAGATAGGGATCCAGAGAGAGATAAACGGTAGATGATAGATAGATAGATAGATAGATAGATAGATAGATAGGTATATATCAAGAGAGAGAAATAAGAGTGTTAGATATATGTCTGTGTATATAGAGAGGAATAAAGAGGTATGCTAGATAGGGATTCAAAGGTAGATAGATAGATAGAGAAATAAGAAACGGTGTTAGATATGTATCTAACAGAAATAAAGAAGTGTACTTGATAGGGATCCAGAGAGAGATAAAAGGTAGATAGATAGATAGATAGATAGATAGATAGATAGATAGATAGATAGATAGATAGGTATATATCAAGAGAGAGAAATAAGAGTGTTAGATATATATCTGTGTATATTGAGAGGAATAAAGAAGTATGCTAGATAGGGATCCAGAGATAGATAGATAGATAGATAGATAGATAGATAGATAGATAGAGAGAAATAAGAAACGGTGTTAGATATGTATCTTAAGGAAATAAAACAGTGTACTAGATAGGGATCCAGAGAGAGAGAAAAGGTAGATAGATCGGTATATATCAAGGCAGAGAAATAAGGAAGGATGTTAGATATGTATCTGTGAATATAGAGAGGAATAAAGAAGTGTTTGATAGGAATCCAGAGACAGATAGATAGATAGATAGATAGATAGATAGATAGAGAAATAAGAAACGGTGTTAGATATGTATCTAACAGAATAAAGAAGTGTATTAGATAGGGATCCAAAGAGAGATAAAAGGTAGATAGATAGATAGATAGATAGATAGATAGATAGATAGGTATATATCAAGAGAGAGAAATAAGGAAGGGTGTTAGATATGTATCTTTGTATATAGAGGAATAAGGAAGAGAGAGAGAAAAATAAATTAGTTTGCTAGATAGGGATCCAGTAGAGAGAGAGAGAGAGAGAGAGAGAGAGAGAGAGAGAGAAATAAGAGTGTTAGATATGTATCTGTGTATATAGAGAGGAATAAAAAAGAAAGAGAAATAAATAAGTGTTCTAGACAGGGATCCGGAGATAGATAGATAGATAGATAGATAGATAGATAGATAGATAGATAGATAGATGGATGAGGGAGGATGTTAGATATATATCTGTGTATATGGAGAGGATTAAAGAAGAGTGAGAGAAATAAAGAAGATAGCTAGATAGGGATCCAGAGAGAGAGAGAGAGAGAGGAAGGGGGGGGGGGATAAGGAAGGGTGTTAGATATGTACCTGTATATAGAGAGGAATAAAGAAGAGAGAGTGTGATAAATAAATAAGTGTGCTAGATAGATATATATTTATCCAGAGAAAGAAAGAAGTTTGATTGATAGATAAGGTAGACAGACAGATAGATAATGAAGCGTGTTAGATATGTATCTGTGTTTATAGAGAGGAATAAGGGAG